TTGGTGTAGTCGTTTTTTTTTTTTTTTTTTTTTTTGTTTTCCCCCTCGCTAGCCATCGCGAGGCCGCGAACTTCTAGGTGCAATTCGCCCGGCGAAAGGCCCAACCAGATGCAGCTGTTAGGAACGCAGTTGTGAGCTCCGTCCTCGGTGAAGCTCCCTATGAGGCCACGAGACCTTAGCTGCCTCGATGCGACCGTTTCGATACGCAACACGTATCGTGCTCAAGACGTCCGTGTCAATGTGTTGCGTGTTGGCTCAACGCATTGGCCCACTTTTTGGCGAACGTATTGCGTGAGACCTACGTGTTCAGTCTACGTGTTGAGGTCCGTGTCGACACGCTACATGTTGCATGTTTTGTATCGGGGCAGCTAAGCAGTAAATGTGTGCGAGGAGTGCGGACATGGGTGCGGGGACCGCATGCGAGCACTGTCGCTGTGGCCGTTGGCGGAGCTCCCTATGGGGTCACGAAACGTGTGAGGGGTGTGCCGAAAAGGGCGGGGGAGGGCGCATGGGGCCGCGGCCACTGGGGCCTTCGGTGGAGCTCCCGGTGGGGCGACGAAGCGCTGTTCTGGGTACGAGAGACGCATGCGGGCCGCGGCGCTCGGATCCTCGGTGTGGTTTCACATGGGGCGACGATGTGTGAGGGGTATGCCGACATGGGTGGTGGGGACGCATGCGAACTTCGCCACTGGGACCTTCGGTGGAGCTCCCTATGAGGCCACGAAACTTGTGAGGGGTGCGCCGCAATGGGTGCGGGATCGCATGCGAACTGCGCCACTGATACCGTCGATGGAGCTTCCTGTGGGGCCACGAAACGTGCGAGGGGTGTACCGAGACGGGTGGTGGGGGCGCATGCGAACTGTGCCATTGGGACCTTCGGTGGGGCTCCCTATGGGGCCACGAAGCGTGCTAGGCTCCACGGAAGAGTCGAGTAGCCATACGCCGTTTGGCGCGTGGGCAGGAAAAGTGCGCATGCCAATAAAGAACAAGAGGAAGAGGGGGCGCATCACGACTGTGACGCAGAAAAACAAGGCGCATCACGACTGTGAAGCTGAAAACTAAGCGCCACACGACTGTGAAGCAGAGAAGACGGAGGGGGGGAGGGGCCGAACGCGAACTCAGTACAGAACTCTCGCTCCTGTGCGGCCTCGTACAAGCATTCCGAAGAGAAGCGGCACCAGATTTTGCGATAAAGTTCCTTTGTCCATTCATGTCCGGGTCTCCCAACTGGTCGTTTACACGAGTCGGTCGCCGGTCGGAGGCTTCTTGGCTGAAAAGTGAGCTGTCGTAAAGCATCTGTGTCGTGTGACCGGCATCTTTTCCCAAATAATGCCAATTTCTGTCGTAGTAACTGTGATGAGTATGATTTTTGACCTGAATTTAGACTGACGCTTTTATTTGATACTCCAGATATGTAGGGGTGCGCGATGCCCAAAACAAGCCTCAAGCAACGGGCTTGGAACCCACCTATCCTCCTCCTCTCTGCTTTGTTAAACCACGCCGAACATACGTAATATAGTACCTTGCTTGTGATGAGAGCAGAGAAAACTTCCAGCTTGTGCTTTTTGCTCACCGCAGTGTGTTTCCACGCATACGCATATCTTTGAATTTTCCCCTATGCTGCGCCCAATCTCCGCCCCAGCTCTGGTTTGCTGTCCCCGCTGTCGAAAGACGAGTGGCCCCCAAATATTTCATGTGCGACGTGGGCGCGATGATTTTCCCAGCGGGGTCCATGTTATGCATTTGACAACTGATTTGCAATAATTGAAATTAATCCCAGTGCAGCTCCATTCCCAGGCGCTCTGGCAATTTCGTTCAGAAGTTGTTGTAAAGGGAGTTCGCTGCGTCCTACCAACATCATCGTCTGCATATAGAAGATCTGTTAGGTTCCCACATTCCATGGAACGTCGAGTATCGGTGTCCAGATTCGTCTCCACGTCTTTGACCAATACCGACATAACCATTACAAACAAACACGGCGACAATGGGCACCCTTGTGAAATTCCTGACTTCTGCTCCCTGTCCGCTGACCTCCGGCTCCGGCTCCCATCTGCGAGGCTAAAGTGGCGAGAACCGTAGATGTTACTCATAAGTTGCAGCAAGTGCGGCGGCACGCCGAAAGTCGTGAGTGCATCGACATCGAGAAGGGCGTCCACGTTTATCGAATCGAATGCCTTTTCCCAATCTAAAGACAATAAGTATGCAACTTTGCCCCCGCGTGTGGCGCGCGCTAGCTCAATATGTCTGCAGGCTGCGTGAACGGCGTCGGTCGTACCGCTTTTTTGCCTGAATCCGTATTGTGTCCCAGTTAGTCTGTCTTCGGCCCCTGCTTCTTGGAGTCTCGTCAACGACAAGCTTGCGAACCACTTGTGCATCACACATAAAAGGCTGATTGGGCGATAACTGTCGCACTGGTCCACGGAGCCATTGTTCTTGTATATGATCGCCACCACTGCGTGCCGCCAATCATCCGGTACTTGTTTCTCGTGCCAGCATTGGTTTATCAGCTTCGTGATCGTCTCCAGCTCTTTCGGGTCCTCAACGAGGGTTTTCCAATATTCTGGCGAAATGTCGTCTGGTCTAGGTGCTTTCCCATTGTTTACTTTAGACGTTGCCTTTCGCATCTCTTGCGTTGAGAAATCGTGGTCTGAAATAAGCAATGGTGGTCCCAGTGGCTCACGCGGAATGGGCGTCGCAGGTCGCACTTTCCACTGCACTTTCTCGAACTATTCTGCCACTGTATCTGCTTTCTCTGTGCTTTCAAAAAGTTCGCCATCCAAATTCCTGATGCTTCCCTGCCTGCGCGGCTTTGGCCGGCAAACTTGCTTAAGTGAGGCCCAACTCCCATCGGCGATTTGCTGGTTCATCCAAGCTTTCTTATGTTGCTCAAATGATTTCCTTATTTGTTTTTGTAGCGACCTTTCTGCCATCGCAGTATGAGAAGATCGTGCCAAACTTCTGTGATCTATCAAATCCAAAGTCTTCTGAGAAACCCATGGCTGCTGTGTTTTCCGGCCCCTGTGGGGCAGAGCATGTTCAGCCTCAGCGATCGCATGTTTCATGTTCTCCTAAGTTTGTTGGCCAGTGTCGGCTGCACCCTCGCTGGAATTGAAGATGTTAGTGAAAGCTTCGCGGACATCTTTATGATGCTCGAGCGCCGTTTTGTCGTAACCGGAGGTCTGCTTGGTGGCAACAGGCGGAATTTCAATTCCCAGTGACCATGATTCCAAGTAGTGTTCTGTAGCTAGCGCTGCACGTCGGTGGCTGCTGAAATCTTGAATGATCCTATCCACCCAGGTTCGCATTAAACCAAATCCAAGATATTATGAGATGCCGGTGTGATGGCAGCCAGTGGTAGCATTCCAGCTTTCCGGAAAGTAACTTTCATGTCCAAGCTCTGATTCATGAAGGTGCTTGTAATCACAAGTCCTGCGTCCACGCAGAATTCGAGTAGTAGTTCTCTGTTTGGTGATTCCACTTCGTGCACGGCTTCCTTCCCCCAGCCATGCTCTCCGACAACGTCTGAAATGGGTGCGGAATTGCATGCGAAGTGCGCCACTGGGACCTCCGGGGGAGCTCCTCATGGGGGCACGAAACGTGTGAGTGGTGTGCCGAAATAGGTGCGGGACTGAATGCGAACAGCGCCACTGGGGTCTTCGGTGGAGCTCCCTATGGGGCCACGAAGCGTGTGAGGGATGTGCCGAAATGGGTGGCGGGACCGCATGCGAACTGCGCCATTGGTGCCTTCGGTGTGGCTCCCTGTGGGGCGACGACGCGTAGCTGTCTCTTCAGAACGAGGACCCAGCACCACAGGACGGTTGGGAAAAGAGAAGAAGTTCTGGATGTGGAACTTGGCCAGGCGAGCACGCATCCTTGCAAAAGCCCAGGCCCCCGATGTCATCATTCTTCAAAACGTGGACCCCTTTAGGTCTCGACTCCTTCCCTGGGGCTGGCGTTTCGCCCCTTGCGTCGCTTCGGACGGTCGCAGTCCCAGCGATTGCTTCGGGAGGCCGAGGATGGCCACTGCGTATTCTGCGTCGTTTTCTCCGCGACGTGGAGGGGGCCTAGGTCCTGGCACATCGGTGGCGAGCGAGGGTGGGAAGTGAGAAGGAGAAGGACTTCTCAGCAGGCGGCGGGATTGCTCAGAAGCCCTCGGGCCTTCTGGGAAGTTTCCGGTATCTTCGGGGAAGGCTCTGGAAATTCCTCGGAAGGCCAGAGGACCTCCGAGCCTCCTGAGAATGCTCGCCGCCGAGCGCACGCAAGCGCAGTAAGCAGGGTGCCGACGAGAAGCGGGCGCGGGGTCGGGAGCGGGGCGGGGGCTGCAGCAGGGTCCCCGGGGGGGTGGTCGGGCCCGGCGCTGCTGGAGCGGCTGCCAGGCGAGGGGAGGCGCGCATGGCCCGTGGGGTGGTGGGGAAGAGGGCGATTCCAAAGCTGGCATGCAGCGGGTGCTTTGGGTCGGACGTCAGATGAGGAAAAGGTGCCCGTACCTCTACCCTTCCCTCGGTTTCTCCTTTTTGGGCCTCCTGGGAGGCCCTCGTCGCCACCGCTAGATTCGCCTCGAAATCCTGGTCAGAGCGCACCCTGGGAAAGGTCCGGGGAGTAGCAGTATTGGTACCTTTTGGTCTCCCCAAGGCGGGGCTAGGAAGAGGACAAGTCCGTTCCAGAGCGTTCCGGAACGCTCCCAGAGCGTTCCGGCGCGCTCTGAGAAGGCCGCGGCGCCCGAGATGTCCCCCAGAGCCGCCGGATCTCAGAGATTCTCGATCTATCCTCACCCGAGCTTACCTTATCCAGGCCTCGTCTTATTGGGTATTCCTCGCCCTGGCTCCCCCCGATTACATTTATTTTCTCTGTGATCTAGGCCAGCGATGTTCAGAGTTGTCGATCCGGCACGCACTCTCATAAAGCTTGCAGAAGATGCCTGCGTGCCAGTGTAGATTTGCAGAGGGAGTTGGGAGCATTTGATTATGCACCATGCTGCACCTTATGCAGGGGCTTCAAAGCATATCTCGAGGCACTCCGCTTCATAGGTCCCAATGCGCAGTACATGTTCATCTCGCTGGAGCGTGCCATCGCTGACGCAGGCTTGGAGGAGAAGGCCTCTCCCGAAGTTTTTTTTTGTTATTTTTTACCATCGGAAGGGTGTGTACGCCTTGCCGCGTGCCTGCTTGCATAGGGATTGATTTTCATGTGGCCTGATTACCTCGAAGCGTACGCACTGCGCAGTCTTACAAGTGTTCACTCGAGTTTCCAAGCAGTATGCAGCATCTGATAGCCATCCAGTAGCTGGGCGAGCACGCTTGCAAACGGCTCATGCGCTTGAGCCGCCGCTGTCAATTGTCATCGGGTGCATGTGGTAGCTCACAGAATGTGGTACGTGAGCTCCTGGATTACTCTCGCGCCTGCACGAGCCCTCGACCTAACGTGCTGCTGCGAGCCTGGCATGGCCAGCCACTTGGGCCGACAAGGGCCTGCTAAGAGGGCTGATCATGAGATCCAAAGAATCGGGGGGGGGGGGGGGCAGGGGGTAGGAGGTGGACAAGAAGAGGAGGATTTGGGAGGAAGAGGAAGCGGGAGATGTCGAACAATTCTGGCGGCGACACCATTGCCTCAAGGAGAGGGCGTATGTTGCTTTGCAGGGTGGATGCTGACGCAGGTGCTTCGTGCGGGGCCTCTAACTTTGCGGACACTGGCCGTGAATCTGTTGTGCACGTTCTGTGCGAGCCTCGCGACAGGCAGCTCATCGCCAGGAAATCTTTGCTGCACGCCCGGGGCGTAATTGCCAGCTACATGTGTAGAGTGGGGTATGCAGCTTGCTACACATGGGAGCTGCTGCAGGGAGGTTGCGAATCCCACGCAGTAAACTGATCTTCAGCACTACGCCGGGAACCCGCGGTGTGCCAACATCACGGGCCAGGGCGGTACTTCCATGGCGGACATAGCAGAGGCCGACGAAGCCATGCAGAAGCACGGGCCATGGGCTGACAACAAGTGGGGCAGGAAGATGGGGCCTTACCGCGTCACGAGGACGATGGGATCGGCGTCTTCTGCAGTGCTCTCCTCCTGGTTCAAGATCCAGGGCCCTTCGTACTCGTTGTCTGCAGCCTGCTCCACTGGTGCCCACTGCATCGGCCACGGCATGGAGCAAATTCAGGACAGCACTTTGGGGCATGCAACTTTCATTTTGCGGATTCGGCAGGGTGCTGTTCGTAGGGGGTCATCCTGTTTTTTGGCCCCTCGGCGCCAGCAGGAGCAGCTGTAGGATGAGCTGTAGAGGTGGTTCGTTTCGCTCCTCCGAAAACGCCGTGCCCCCCAGACCCTGCGAAGGGTGGTACGGAGAAGGAGGATGTGCAGTTCGCACGGCCGCGTGGCGAAGTAGTGAGGAATGTGTTTGTTTCCCAAGGCGGCGTGAAAATGCCAGACCAATGTTCCCCAATCAGAGGTTGCCTCTGTAGGGGTCCTAGCGGATTCATATGGTTAGGTTAGGTTTGCCGCCGATTTTCGCCGCACGCCCGGGTGCCCGTGGGTGCCCGGGGGTGAGGTTGGCCGCCGATTTTCGCTGCACGCCCGGGTGGCTGGGGGTTGCCCCGGGGTGCCCGGGCGCCCGGGTGCCCGGGTGCCCGGGCGTGCCCAGGGGTGCCCGGGCGTGCCCGGGGGTGCCCTGGGGTGCCCTATAGCCCTATAGCTCTATGGCCCTATAGCCCAATAGCCCAACAGCCCAATAGCCCCATAGCCCTACAACTCTATGGCCCCATAGCTCTATAGCCCTATAGCTCAATAGCCCTACAGCCCGATAGCCCCCTGGCCCTATAGCCCTGGCTGTTTTTTTTTGTTTCCTCCGGTATCCTTTTGAGCGTGCCTGGGTTTTGTAGAGGTGGGGTCAGTCCGTCTGCCCCGGGAGGCCGCTTGATCGAGGGGGGTAGGAGCAGAGACCGGCCCCCTTGGCATGCGGATCTTCGGCAGGGGAGGAGCCTGCGAGGGAAGCTCGTGAGACGCAGAGAGCTGGAGGAGGAAGGTGCGGCGTGAATGGGCATGTCGTTTGGGCCGCCACTGGTCGAGTTCGACGTGGCAGGGCGCATGTCGGCGGTAAGAGTTCTGTGAGATCCCCCCCAGCGGATTACCCCACTGAAGGTTCGTGACAAATCTGATGTAGCACGAGCGTCGGGGCCGATCCCCCCGTCAGAGTCGAGTGGCTCGGACACTTCATGGCACGCTGGACGCGTATCCAGATCAAGCTTGAGATTTTCCAGATGTTGTGTCCAAAGCATCCGCTGCGCGTCGTTTAGAGCATCCCTTCGCCTTCATGCTTAATGCCGATTTGGAGGTATGACTGTCTTCGGTCGGCTCCTTTGTCGCTCTTACCATGCTTGCCGACTCCGAGGCGCAAGCTTGACCGGGCGTGTCACGGCATCGAGCTTCGTGGGTTGGGGGGAAGACGCATTATGTGTCGGGAGTTCTTGCGCAGACACACGCCTTCTCTATTCCATGTGGGTTATTCATGGCCAGGTCCACGAAGAGGTTCGGTTTCAGATTTGACCCGGCTGGTATGTACGATCACATCTGTCTCCACGCCGTTTGTTCCGACGCCCAGCCTGACGTCTTGGGGAGGGCGCCTCGGCCACCAGGGTAATCTCCGCTTCGGTCGCAAGGTTTGCCATGGAATTTCCGCAGAGCCAGCTTCGTCTGTTTGGGCGCGTCGAGAGCAAACGGCGCGGCGACATAGCTTTCTGGCGTAAGCGTCTCCGCAGTTTGTGCAGGCTGAAGTAAGGGTATCAGAGATTCGTATTTGAACTTGTCCCCCGCAGCGGACACTGCTCGAATATGGACAACCAGTGGCGTCAACGACTTCGAGCATGACAATGCAGACGGAATTCCTGAACAGACGACATGTGTGTGTGTGTGTGTGTGTGTGTGTGTGTCAAGGGACGGCCGCATCCTGGCTGTCAGAATGTTACCCCCTCAAAAGTGGGCTTTGTCTTTTTCACGCATGTGGTGAGGTGAAGAATGCGTGCAGCGCTGCACTTGTGGTGACCAGCAGGAACTTGCTGAAACATGCGCATCTCTAAGCTGGACAAAGTTGACATCTCGTTCGTCGGGGCAGGCGAGGAGATAGGCTGGGAGTTCTCGTCCATGTTTGACGCAATGGGATCCTTGTCTTCGAATTTCAACGAGACGCCCTCTAAGGCACTGGTCAGAGGGAGGTAGGTCTTGAGAAGCAGGAGGAATGGATGATGGACCGAACTCGTTTCGGCGCCACCTCAGTGTATGGCCTGATGCACTGCAGCTCACCTCTCCTGGAGCCTGCCAAGCGCGGCCAGGCGCGCCTCCACCACCCTGTCCTTTCGCCGCCGCCATCCTACAGGCAGCTCTGGTATGGCAGTTCGTGGTTTCCAGGAGGCTACCGTGTACCCATGCAGCTGCTGTGCATGTCTGCCGCCTCGGTTGGCTCCCGTGACAGGTGGCAGCCGTTTGAACGGCCGTCGAGGCTGTTCGGGGGTCTCGCTCTTCCGCCCGACACTGGGGCTACCACACGTCCAGCACGCCTTGTGCACAAGATGGCAGATTCTGTGGCAGATGCGCCGAATCTGAGTGGTTCTGCGTTCTGAGTGAATACGCACACACACATATATATATACATACAGATATGTGTATAAGTGTGTATGTATGTATGTATGTATGTATGTATGTATGTATGTATGTATATATATATATATGTATGTATGTATGTATGTATGCATGCATGTATGTATGTATGTCTGTATGTATGCATGCATGCATGTATGCATGCATGCATGCATGCATGCATGCATGTATGTATGTATGCATGTATGTATGTATGTATGTATGTATGTATGTATGTAGGTAGGTAGGTAGGTAGGTATGTATGTATGTATGTATGTATGTATGTATGTTTGTATGTGTATGTATGCATGTATGTATGTATGTATGCATGTATGCATGTATGCATGTATATATGTATGTACGTATGTATGCATGTATGTATGTATGTATGTATGTATGGATGGATGGATGGATGTATGCATGTATATATATATATAGATATCGGAGGTAGGGGAGTGTGAGCGGACGTGACCCCACGCGGGGTGTCGGTTTCGGTTTCGGTTCGTGTCATCCGTGCGGGCGAGGCGAAGCTGCGCGAGTTCCTGCGCTGGTAGAGGCCTCTTGGAGCCCAACAGGTCTCGCCCCCCCCGCCCCCCCTGGCCGCGCGCGGCCCCCGACGGTTGTCTCGCGGGTTGTCTTGATGGTTGTCATGATGGTTGTCCCGATGGTTGTCTCGATGGCTGTTCCGATGGTTGTCCCGATGGTTGTCCAGATGGTTGTCCTGATGGTTGTCCCGAAGGCTGTCCCGATTGTTGTCCCGATTGCTGTCCTGATGGTTGTCTCGATGGTTGTCTCGACGGTTGTCCCGATGGTTGTCCCGATTGCTGTACCGATGGTTGCCCCGATTGCTGTCCCGATGGTTGTCTCGACGGTTGTCCCGACGGTTGTCCAATGGTTGTCCCGACGGTTGAGCCGATAGAGAGGTCGAGAGGTAGATAGATATATACACCGATATATATATATATATACACATACACATGTGGACTGATTGATGTGTCGACCCGATAGACATATACACATAGATAGAGTGATCGTTAGAAACATGGATATATATATATATATATATATATATATATCTATATATATATATTGATATATATATATATATATTGATATATATATAGATTAGTTCGATAGATTTGCCCGTGCACTCTTTGGTGGCGGAAGGTGGGAGTCATCGCGTATCGACCGCCTCCCCTTCCTCCCAAACCTCCTTATCACCCGTAGGGTGGCCCTATCGGCATACATGTATCTATACATATGTTCACGATTGAGTCCAAGCGGGAAGGGCAAATGAAGATTAAAGCGGGAGTACCGCCCCAATCACAATCACACAGCAGCTTCGGAGTGAGAAGTGGGGTGTGTGGAGGTAGAGACGCATGGCCAAGCGCAGGAGGGAGAATGGAAGGAGGAGAATGAGGGGGTGGAGTCATGTGCTGTAGGCATGCAGGTGTTACGCCGTGGCTGGCCGCGAGACGAGTCACATTTCTCGCTTTCTCCTCCAGGTGCGCTGCTGCGCGAATCCGCCACATTGCCCAGGCAGACTCCTGGGGGGCGGCGAGGCTATGCCACAGGTGTTCCTACGATAACTGTTTGATTTGGCTCCGAGAATCCCTGGGGCTATGTAGGAGAGCGCACATTGGGCTCGATGCGTCAGGGGGTTGAATGATTGCTTCGCAGAGAGCAAGACTGAAAACGAAGCAGAGGTCCGACACACACATACACACATAGACACAAACCGCTGCAAGCTCGGTGGCGAGTTCAGCGCTCTTGTTTTTCAACACCGCCCCTGAAGACAGACTTTGTGAGGCGTCGCGACCTCTGGACAAGAACGGTGATGGCTTCGTGTTCGCGGGCGGTGGGGGCATGCTCGTCCTCGAAGAACTTGAGCACGCCAAGGCCCGCCCATTTCGTGCTTTCTCTCCCCGACCCTGCTGCTATGCCCGCGCTGCAGAGGGCGCAGACCACGCTTGTGAGCGCCACACCAGCCACACATGTCTCACAACCTTCTGAATCTGACTTGCCGCCGTAATTCGGGAACGATGGGTTGCATCGATAATGCTAGGGCGAAGACCGACATCAAGATCTTTCAACGCGAGGAAGCCAACTGACAAGATGCGAGTAGAGCGCGCCCCATGCTCGCTTCGGACCGTCATCTGGTGCTTGCCCCTACGAACATGTCGACCCTGCCCTCACTGACCACCCCCAACCCAACCGAACGTTTGGCTCCCCGAAGTAGGCTAAGATGCTCACGGCAGGGCTCGCCATAGCAGCATCAGTTTCTTCCCTCCAGGTGTGTCACATGTTATGTTAGATTGTGGCTGTTTTGGGCGATTGTCATTGTTTGCCTGGTGGCATTTCGAGCATTATGGAAACGCACACGTTGGCACATGCTGTTCATTTTTGATTCGCATGCCTTTCGTTCAGCATACATCGTATCGTGTCTTCTGCATCTATGGGTCGTCCTCTCAATTACGAGTGCCAGCGCGTGCGATTTTCGGCAGCTGTCGGGCTGTCCATGTGCCACCCGTGTGAACAGGTGCAGGACCATTCCCATGTTTTGCAAGTGTTTTGACCGTCTGCGTGTGTTGCAGTACACCCTGCGAAATGCTTAAGAAATCATGGGTTAAGAAATTCATAGTCTATTAAAATCTTGGGATGTACATGGAAACATTAAGAATCATCGAGACCCTGGCCGAACACGTAGGTTTTCTTAAGCATCGCCTAAGGTGTATTAGCTGTTAGAGCCAAGAGCGGTGATTCCTGCCGGCTCGGAGGTCCGAGCAGGTTTTCCTTGGGTCGGCGTTGGACCCCGGGCGGCGCCGCTCGCGCCGCCTCTGGCGAGGAGGGCCGAGATCCTTGTGGACCTCCGAGAGTTTATGCATTTCTTTATCCAGGGCTATGATATATCCTCCTTCCTCCTGCTCCCTTCGAGAGGCCCGCGGGGCAAAGATCTACGCGGAGCTTGTTGGTTACGGCTCCGCCGCCGACGGCTTCGACGTGCTGAACACCTCCGGCGTGGGTTGCGAGAGAAGCATGAGGAGTTCTGCTGGCGGGGGTGGGTGGCGAGGAGACACACATGGATGGACGAAGTGGATCAGGTGCGGGCGGTAGGCTTCCGGGGAGATGATCATGGGGAGGAGGAACAGAGTGAGCAGAAGGAGGCATGACAGCGTCGTTTGCGAAATTAGCGCCCGCCAGTAACAGTGCCGCGAAGACACGCCCCAGACCCCGTATCTCAATGTTGGCCGACGACCGCGCCGGAAGGGAGGGCGAAGTGTTGCAAAATAAATGCCCACTTTTTCGTGAGGCTGCTGCTTGCCCGTCAACCTTGAAATATTGGGCGAGGGGGGGCGCGCGTTGACGCATTGTTTTCTAGACTTGAGACTGGCGTTATTTCGCAACCCACGGTAGGTATTCTTGGGCTTATGTTTTCCCTGTCGTTTTTCTCTCCTCGTCTCCCTCCTCCTTCCGCCTTTTCTCTTTTTGCGCAGTTGTCGTCGTCTCACCGTTGAATGTGACGACGACGACGCCGGCAACGACGGCGGCGCCGATGCCAGCGCCGCCGACGCCGACGCCGACGCCGACGCCGACGCCGTCGAATACGACGACGGCGACGCCGACGACGCCGACAACGCTGGCGAGAGCGGTCTTGCGATAGGGTTGCTTATCGACTCTCCAGTTCTGGTGTCGCAGGTGGCATTGTTCCTAACGCTGCCGTTGTTGTGATGTTGTGCTATAGGAAATTTCGGCCAGCGCAGACTCCAAATATATCGGACGACTGGAATGAAGTGGGCTGGAGACTGATCAGGGGAGAACCCCATGACCAAATATTCTCGGGTCTTTTTTGCGGGGGTTTTCCGGGGGGGTCCAAGGCACTCCCACACCAGTCTCGGGGGTCTCTTGGACCGTCTGGGGGTCGTTCGGGGGAGGAGCTCTTGGACCCTCCTAGGGACCTCCTGGAACGCATCGTGGAGCAATCTGAAGCCAACAAGTTCTTGGGCCCCTCTTTGGGGCCGTCTTGAAGGTTTTTTCCGGAAAGGGCGTGGGCCCAGGGTTCTCTTTTAGTTGATTACCCCTCTGGCCTCGACTTGCGTAGGGCTGGCGAAGTTATTTGTTGTAAATAACGAGGTTGTGTAGGGCCAGCGAAATTATGTTTGAGGATGTCCCGATCGAAACGCTTGTTTAGCAGAAATTGTTGAGGATATCTTTAGCGACACGCTTGTTGTGTGTTATAGATTGTTCTTTCCTGGGGACCAGAATTTAGAGGATCTCTCAAGTGCAATACTTGTTTTCACGTGCCCAGATTTTGAGGATGTCTCGAGCGAGACGCTTGGTTTCACGCGTCCAGGTTGCCTAGACAGATGTCTAGCATGATGATTTGTTGAGGATGTTTCGAGCGAGACGCTTGCTGTCACACGTCCAGGTCGCCCAGGTGGATGTCTAGCATGAGGATGTGTTGAGGCAGTCTCGATCGAGACGCTTGTTTGCACGTGTCCAGGTTTCCCAGGCGAATGTCTAGCATGAGGATGTGTTGAGGGTGTCTCGAGCGAGACGTTTGCTTTCACGTGTCCAGGTTGCCCAGGCGGATGTCTAGCATGAGGAGGTGTTGAGAACGTCTCAAGCGAAACACTTGTTTTCACGTGCCCAGGTCACCCAGGCGGATGTCTAGCATGAGGAGGTGTTGAGAACGTCTCAAGCGAAACACTTGTTTTCACGTGCCCAGGTCACCCAGGCGGACGTCTAACATGAGGAGGTGTTGAGAACGTCTCAAGCGAAACACTTGTTTTCACGTGCCCAGGTCACCCAGGCGGACGTCCAACATCAAGATGTGTTGAGGATGACTCGAGCCGGACCACTTGTTTTCACGTGTCCATTTTGCCCAGGCGGGTGTCTAGCATGAGGATGTGTTGAGGATGTGTTGAGCGAAACGCTTGTTTTCACGTTCCCAGGTTACCCGGGCGGATGTCTAGCATGAGGATTTGGACAGGATGTCTCGAGTGAAACGCTTGTCCCCAGCACGTTCCGCAGGACGTCCCGTTGGCACGTCCCGCGGTGCGTTCTCATGGTACGTCCCCTGGCACGTCGCCTGGCGCATTCCTTGGGACGTTCCGCGGCGCGTCCTCCTGGCATGCCCCCCTGTCAAATTGCTCTGGGGCAGCTACTATGTGCTCAGGCAGCTCGAGCTTAAGATCCAGATCAGTTCGGTCAGGACTTGGATGCACAGGAGGACTCGATCCACAACGCTCTAGAGCACAATTGCGGCATGGCACATTGCAATTCAGCACGGCGCAGCACAGCACAGCCCTCGGCACGGTACAGCAAGATCGATACTTTCAGCATTGCAACCTGGCACGGTTCTTGGCACGTTCCGCGGCGCGTCTCGTGGCGAGTCCCCCTGGCATTAAGTCGGGCCTGTCCCCCTACAGGGGGATGTTCGACGAAAAATCAAAAATAACACCAACATAATCAAAAAGTAGTCCAAACATAGTCTGGGGACTATTTTTTGAGTATTTTTTATCTTTTGGAGGTATTTTTGAAGTATTTTTTCATTTTTCGTCGAAAATCCCTCTGTAGGGGGACACGCCCGACATAACCCTGGCACGTCGCGCGGCGCGTCCCCTAGCACGTTCCGTGGCACGTCCATTGGCACGTTCCGTAGCGCATCCCCTTGGCACGTCACGCGGAGCGTCCCTATGGCACGTCCCCTGGCACATCGCCTGGCGCGTACCTTGGGACGTTCCGCGGCGCGTCCTCCTGGCATGTCCCCCTGTCAATTGGCTCTGGGGCAGCTACTATGTGCTCAGGCCGCTCGTGCTTCAGATCCAGATCAGATCGGCTAGGACTCTGATGCAAAGGAGGACTCGATCCACAACGCTATAGATCACAGTCGCGGCATGGCACATCGCAATTCAGCACGGCGCAGCACTGCACAGCCCTCGGGACGATACATCAAGATTGATACACTCAGTATTGGTTTTGCCCGTCGCCCAATCAGGTATCTTTGAAACGTTGCCACGCATTACATTTCTAGATTCCTTTCCGGGTTCGTGGGTCGATCATGTTGGCCGTCGTGGGGGCCTCTTGGGCAGTCTTGGGGCCCTCTTTGGCCGTCTCTGGGCTCTTTTGGAGGCCTCCTGGGCCATCTCGGGTCTGTCTGGTGAGCCTTTCGGGTCGTCTGCTGTTTTCAGAAGCCCTGAAAGGCGAGATCTCGGAAATCATTCAATCACATTTGGATCATCAGTGGTTTTTGCTTCTTGAGTCCTTCTTGCGGGTCCTCTTGACGCTTTCTTGGGCCGTCTGCGGGACTTCTTGTGCCGTCTTGAGGCCATTTTGGATGCTCTTGAGGCCTCTGCGGTGCGTTGGAGCCCTTCTTGGACCATCTCAGAAGGTATTTGGGGCATCTTGGTAGCCACGGAGAGTGGATCTGAAGGATCCCACTGCCCCCAGACATGCGTTGGCTTGCTGAAAGGCACTTGGGACACCTGGAAAGAGGGAATGGGAAGGGGGGGTAGAGGATTCCAAACGAAGGTGTTCAATTGGTCTAGGCCTAGGCATGTTTGGCCAATGCACTTGCCTCCCGTATTCACTAACACATCGGCTTTCAGCCTCACGTCCTCTCCTACGTCCATTGCTTGACCTGTATGAATCTGGGCGCGCACGTGCCACCTCTGCATACAGCTGTCGGTGCCGGTGCTTGCATTTTTGCCCTCGCACGTTTCTGCCTCCACCTGTGCATGTCCTTCCTGTCTCCCCAGCTCTCTCTCTCTCTCTCTCTTTTTGTCTCTCTCTCTCTCTGTCCTGCCTGACACTCCCGCCAGGATAGCTCTTGAGATGGCGGACTCGGTGGCCGGCGCGAAGCCGGTGGACTACGTGAACATGGGGGCCACGGGCGTGCGGGCGAACGATGAGCAGGACCTCCGGCCCCTGGGGGGGGCCCAGGCCGCGCCAGCTCCTCGCTCCTGCAGGTGCACGACAAGCGCGGGGGCCGGCGCCCACGGGGGTTTTGGGCAGTCGCCTGCCAGACACGCCCGCGTCGTGGGCAAAGTCTCGACGGCGCATTTTTGGTGGCAGGAGGAGAGGGAGGAGGGGGAGGAGAAGGATGAGGAGGGAGGAGGGAGGAGGGAGGAGGGAGGGAGGAGGAGGAGGAGGAGGAGGAGGGAGGAGGGAGGGGAGGAGGAGGGGGAGGAGGAGTGAGGAGGGAGAAGGGAGGAGGGAGGAGGGGAGGAGGGAGGGGGAGGAGGGAGGAGGGAGGAGGGAGGAGGGAGGAGGGAGGAGGAGGAGGGAGGAGGGGGAGGGAGGAGGGAGGGGGACTCCGCCCCGCCGTGCCGGACGCTCTGCTGCCCCCTCCCCCCCCGCGCCGCGCGGCGCGCCGAGGAGGCCGAGGCGGTGAAGCGGCTCTTCGCGGAGACCGCCCCCCGCGGGGGGTCGCCCGTGTGGCCGGGGCCGCCTGCACCAGAGCCGGGCTTCCGACGTGGGGTGTCTTCGGCGTTGCCCGAACATGCTAGTACGATGTGTGCGTCTTCCCCCCCAGGGGCGACGCGCGTACCGAGAAATCTCGTAGTATGTGCGTCGTGGCGGGCGCTGTCTGGCCACACCGATCGGGAAACGGTCTATGGCAATGTGGGTGCGCAACATGTTCGAGTCGGACGCGCACCTCCAAGGATAACACATAGTACTAGTATGTGGTTGTGCGTCCCGTGTTTTCCCGGAAAGGGCGGGGGCCCAGGGTTCTCTTTTACTATGTAAACATGTCCCCCGGTGCCAACTTGAAGGAGGCCGGCGGATTTTTTCCCTGATAAATATCGAGGCCGAAGGAGGCCGGCAGATTAAAATTTGAGGATGTCTCGAGCGAAACGCTTGTTTTTGAAATCCCGATCGATAAATCACAGGGTGCGGGCCACTTTTTCGTGTGTTGAGGATGTCTCGAGCGAAACGCTTGCTCCGCAGAGTTTGCCGAGGATGTCTCGAGCGAAACGCTTGTTTTGCAGAGCCGACCGCGACGCGGAAAAGCGCCCCGCGCGAAGGAATTTCGATGATGTCTCGACTAATTCCTTTGTTTTTGTACGATTTCCTGGAATTTTGGCAGGATGTCTCGAGCGAAATGCACGACCCCACCCTAGCACGACCATACCCCAGCACGACCACACCCCAGCACGACCAGACCCCAGCACGACCCCACCCCAGCACGACCCCACCCCAGCACGACCATACCCCAGCACGACCACACCCCAGCACGACCCGACCCCAGCACGACCCTACCCCAGCAAGACCACACCCCAGCACGACCACACCCCAGCACGACCTCACCACAGCACGACCACACCCCAGCACGACCACGCCCCAGCACGACCACGCCCCAGCACGACCACGCCCCAGCGACCACCCCCCAGCACGACCACCCCCCAGCACGACCACCCCCCAGCACGACCACCCCCCAGCACGACCACACCCCAGCACGACCACTCTCACCCCAGCACGACCACACCCAGTGGACCCCAGTCTGGTTGTGGTTGTTTCGTGGGTTCGTGTCTCGTGGAGTGGAATGTTTCACGGGGTGTCTCGTGGAATGTTTCGTGAGGTGTCTCGTGGAATGTTTCGTGAGGTGTCTCGTGGGATGTTTCGCGGGGTGTCTCGTGGGATGTTTCGTGAGATGTCGCCCAGTTGGGTATCGTGAAAACGTGACCATGCTGCACATGTCTTTATCCCTTTCCGGGTTCGTGGGTCCATCATGTTTTCAAATCCCAATGCTTTGTTTCTATTTCGGACTCCAGGGTAAGTTTTCGGGCCCTGGGGCAATCAGAAGTGGGGGTGGGGCCTCTTTCTGGGGTCCGTGGATTGAACAAATCACATCGTCGGATGTCTGGGGAGGTATGGCAGGTTCATACCGCGTCGATGTGGCCGCGACGCTGGCGCGGGCGTGCAAGGTCGAAGGCAACTGGCGGCCTGAGCTAGGTCAACCCTGAACGACCTCTCCTCTCAGATCGCGGAAATCGCTCAAGGTTGAACGGTCCGCGCGGTGTCAGAAACCAGCGTTCACGTCGATACGGCAAGAATCAGCCAGACGCGAAAGCAGAGCTCCTGACCATCGAACGTGACCTTCGAAGTTTTCGGAAGGGCCTGGAGGGGTCCAAGGTCATCCGTCTTCTGCAGCTCTGCCTCGCGAAGAGCTTCGAAGCGTCGTCTCACTCTCGCGAACCGAGCTGGGCGCTTTGTGGTCCGTCGCTTGGCCGCTAGAACCTTTCAGAAGTCCCGCAAGACGCTGGTCAACAGCATCGTCTTACGTAGACCTTGTAGCTTAAGAGCTCGAGCTTTCAGATCATGGAGCGATGGGGTGCAGAATGCGACTTTTTCCAGGCTCCGGCGATGACCCGGGGCATCGGGCCCGCCCGCCCCCTCCTGGATAACCTGCCCTTGTCGGTTGCGCAGGTTCGAAGGGGGTGCGCTGTACTGGTGCGCGCGGGCACACGTGGGGCTGCCCAACGCGAAAAGGCGAGACTATAGGCCGGCCCACCCCCCCACCGCCAGAAAACGATCCCCACACATGCAGAGAGCCAGAAGTCCAAGCCGGGGCCCCGTGCGCGGGCCCTTGTGGAGCACCCGAGGACATCACGCTTCGGCCAGGCCCGGGGGGCCAGAACTCCGTGTGCGGGGGCCGGAAAGCTTCCCGTTCGGGCCAGGCCTCGTGTCCCAGACCCCCTCGGGGCATGTAGGAATCCAACACACGACAGACCCACCTCCTCGGGGTGCAGGTGCAGTGGAGGCCCATGCCAAGAAACACCCTGCTTGCCTCCAGGGTGCCCTGGGTTTCTTGGGTTTCGATGGTTTTGCTGTGGAAGGCGTGACGCTCCCACACCAGGAATCCATGGACGTCCTGGGGTCTCAGGGGTGTTTTTTCCCGGAAAGGGCAAAGGCCCAGGGTTCTCTTTTAGTATGTAAACATGTCCCCGGTGCCCAACTTGAAGGAGGCCGGCGAATTAAACTTTGAGGATGTCTCAGGCGAAACGCTTGTTTTTGAAATCCCGATCGATAAATCACAGGGTGCGGGCCACTTTTTCGTGCGTTGAGGATGTCTCGAGCGAAACGCTTGCTCCGCAGAGTTTGCCGAGGATGTCTCGAGCGAAACGCTTGTTTTGCAGAGCCGACCGCGACGCGGAAAAGCGCCCCGCGCGAAGGAATTTCGATGATGTCTCGACTAATTCGTTTGTTTTTGTACGATTTCCTGGAATTTTGGCAGGATGTCTCGAGCGAAATGCACGACCCCACCCTAGCACGACCATACCCCAGCACGACCACACCCCAGCACGACCAGACCCCAGCACGACCCCACCCCAGCACGACCCCACCCCAGCACGACCATACCCCAGCACGACCACACCCCAGCACGACCCGACCCCAGCACGACCCTACCCCAGCAAGACCACACCACAGCACGACCACACCCCAGCACGACCTCACCACAGCACGACCACACCCCAGCACGACCACGCCCCAGCACGACCACGCCCCAGCACGACCACGCCCCAACACGACCACCCCCCAGCACGACCACCCCCCCAGCACGACCACCAGCACGACCACCCCCCAGCACGACCACACCCCAGCACGACCACTCCCCAGCACGACCACACCCCAGCACGACCACACCCCAGCACGACCACACCCAGTCGCACCCCCGTGGAATGTTTCGTGGCGTGTCTGGTTGAGTGGTTGCCACGACCACGCCCAGCACGACCACGCCCCAGCACGACCACACCCCAGCACGACCACACCCCAGCACGACCACACCCCAGCACGACCACACCCCAGCACGACCACACCCCAGCACCAGCACGACCACACCCCAGCACGACCCGATCGATAAATCACAGGGTGCGGACCACCCCAGCACGACCACACCCCAGCACGACCACCATCCCAGCACGACCCCACCCCAGCACGACCACGCACCCAGCACGACCACCCCAGCACGACCACGCCCCAGCACGACCACAGCACGACCACGCCCCAGCACGACCACACCCCAGCACGACCACACCACGACAGCACGACCACACCCCAGCACGACCACACCCCAGCACGACCCGCATCGATAAATCACAGGGTGCGGACCACCCCAGCACGACCACACCCCAGCACGACCCACCCCAGCACGACCCCACCCCAGCACGACCACGCCCCAGCACGACCACACCCCAGCACGACCACACCCCAGCACGACCACACCCCAGCACGACCCCACCCCAGCACGACCCCACCCCAGCACGACCACACCCCAGCACGACCACACCCCAGCACGACCACACCCCAGCACGACCCCAGCACGACCCCACCCCAGCACGAGCACCACACCCCAGCACGACCGCACCCCAGCACGACCTTACCACAGCACGACCACACCCCAGCACGACCACGCCCCAGCACGACCACGCCCCAGCACGACCACGCCCCAGCACGACCACGCCCCAGCACGACCACGCCCCAGCACGACCACCCCCCAGCACGACCACCCCCCCAGCACGACCACCCCCCAGCACGACCACCCCCCAGCACGACCACACCCCAGCACGACCACTCCCCAGCACGACCACACCGCCTTGGTTGAGTGGTTGCCTGTCGTCGTGGAATGTTTCGTGGGGTGTCTCGTGGAATGTTTCGCGGGGTGTCTCGTGACATGTTTCGTGAGGTGTCTCGTGGAATGTTTCGTGAGGTGTCTCGTGGGCTGTTTCGTGAGGTGTCTCGTGGGATGTTTCGTGAGGTGTTGCCTAGTTGGGTATCTATCCCTTTCCGGGTTCGTGGGTCCATCATGTTTTTGTGTGGAAGGTTTCTTGTGGTCGAGCCCCCCACTGTATGTATGTACCCAATATCACAGACCCACCTCCTCAGGGTGTGCAGGTGCAGTCGCGAGCTTTGGCATAGCGTGTCGTGCCGCCGCTCGTGGCCCGCCACGCTTCGGATCGACGCGAGCCTCTCCCGGCCTCCCGCCCCGCGGAGCAAGACGACACGCTATCGGCTCGCAGGGCATTGCGTGTCGCCAGGGCCGCCGCCGCGATGCGCCGTGCACAAGCTCCTGGCCGTAAGCTCTCCGCAGTGCGTGCGCTGTATTGGAGGTGCGTGCCCGTAGGCCCGTGAGCACATGAATGCTTCGACCTTTCGCGGAACACACTCTTTTTAGCAGGTTTCGAATGCAGTCAGCTCTGGGCGAGCAATGCGCTCAGGCAGCTCGAGCTTGAGGCCCAGCTCAGTTCTGTCAGGAGTCGGACGCCAGGGAAGATGTGATCCACGACGCAACAGAGCACAGAACTGGTCGGATTCGCTCCCTTTCGGTTCGGCCCGCTTGCGAACTGAATCTGATCTTGAGCTCCAGCTGGTCGAGCGTACCGCGTGTTTCGATTGCGGCCAGATCTGAGTTATGCGTTCAGGCAGCTCGAGCTTAAGATCCAGATCAGTTCGATCGGGATTCTGACGCCACGGACGACCTGATCCACAATGCAATAGAGCACAGCACTTCAACGCGGCATGACGCGTCTCAGCTCATCAAAGCGCAGCACAGTACAGCCCCCCTGGCTCTGTACATCACCATCGTTACCTTGAGCATTGCAATTGCCCGTCACCCAAACTTGGTGCCTTGAGCAATTTCCATGCTCCACACTTTTTACATATATATATATATATCCCTTTCCGGGTTCGTGGGCCGATCGTGTTTGCAGATTTTCGGGAGTGATGGCTCTCCTCGTGCCCGCTCGAGGACGGCGCACCCTGCGCGCCGAATCCTCGAGGGCGTCTCGCGCCCCGTACTCGTTCTGCAGAACCTGAGGGGCCCGGGCGCCCCAGGCTGCCCCAGCGATCCCGGGAGTGCGGCCAGCACTGTGTTATTCACAAGGGGTCGTGGCGGCTAGGGGAGCGCGGACGCCGTAGAATCTGCGATGGGTCCTGGCCCTGGGAGCGCGGGCGCATGGCGATCTACTAGGGATCCTGGCCCTGGAGGGGCGGACACAACGGAAATTTGCAAGGGGTCCTTGCCCTGGAAGCGCGGACGCACTGCGATTTGATCGCTGCCCTTGGGGGGGCGGATGCCGAGTAATTCGCGTGGCCCTAGGAGCGCCGACGCAGGGTCCAGCGCAGACCTTTCAGTACGTGTCGGGGGGGCTGAGAAGCCCCAGCACATGTTTCAATCCAGAGAAGTATTGCTTTCTGTACTGGGGAGGGGAAAAGGGGCTCTTTTGGGCAGCCTCCGCGGAGTGCTTCTCGGCCCTGGGAGCGCGGACGCAGTTTAATTCACGAGGGATTGTGGCTGTGGCCCTGGCAGCGCGGACGCAGCGCAATTCATGAGGGATCGCTGCTCTGGGAGCGCGGACGCAATGTAATTTACGATGGGTTGGAGCGTGAACCCAGCTAAATTTAAAAGGGATCGTGGCCCTGGGAGCGCGGACGCGGCTCAATTTTGGAGGGATCCTGGCCCATGGAGCGTGGCTACCGTGTAATTTACACAGTCACGCGGCCCTAGGAGCGCGAACCCAGCATAATCTACGAAGGATCTTAGCCCTGGGAGCGCGGGCGCAGCGTAATGTACGAGGGATCGTGGCACTCGGGCGCGTTCTCTGGCACGTTCTGTGGCGCGTCCCCTGGGCACGTCGCGCGGCACGCCCCCTGGCAGGTTCCCTGGCACGTCCGCTGGCACGTTCCGTGGCGGTCCCCTTTGCACGTTCCGCGGCGCGTCCGAAGGCGCGTCCCCCTGGCACATCGCTTGGCGCGTCCCCTGGTACGCCCCCTGGCACGTCCACTGGCACGTCCCTTGGCGCGTCCCCTGGCACGTCACTGTGCGGGCACGGCGCAGCGCAGAGCAGCACAATACATTTCCATGACACAGTAGAATCGCCATTGGTATCTTCAGCACTGCCACTGCCCATCGCCTAACTGAGGTGCTTGGAACGTTCCCAGGCCTCGCAGTTCTAAATCCCTGTCCGGCTTCGTGGGCCGATCATGCTGTGATTGCTTTGGGACCCAGGACGGGCACCCGGAGGCCCGATGTCGTCATACACCTTCCGTCACTGTTTCTTTTGACGAAGGCGCTGACGATGGCATGCCGACGACGACGCCGACGACGAAGACGCTGACAAAGGAATGCCGACGACGACGCCGACGACGAAGACGCTGGCAACGAGACGACGACGACGACGCCGACGCCGACGACGACGAAGAGCTGCGGCCTGCCGCCGAAAGGCCGCAGGGGGAGGGGGGGGAGGGGGAGGGGGGGAGGAGGAGGGGGAGGAGGAGGAGAGGGGGAGGAGGGGAGGAGGGGGAGGAGGAGGAGGAGGAGGAGGAGGAGGAGGAGGAGGAGGAGGAGGAGGAGGAGCCTGTCTCCCCCCTGCAGGAGAAGGGCTACCGGCCGTACGTGGGGTCAACCAAGTCGCTCTCGGGCAACGCGCTGGCTGCCGCCGGCGTGCACGAGGCGTGCAGCCGTCTGCAAGCATGTCCTGTGGGCACGCTGACACAGGGGAGGGAGCAGAGGAGGAGGAGGAGGAGGAGGAGGAGGAGGAGGAGGAGGAGGAGGAGGAGGAGGAGGAGGAGGAGGAGGAGAGGAGGGAGGAGGAGGAGGAGGAGGAGGAGGAGGAGGAGGAGGAGGAGAGGAGGAGGAGGAGGAGGGAGGAGGAGGAGGAGGAGGAGGAGGAGGAGGATACGGATCGAGGTCCGAGGGCGACGGCTGGATCCGCCTCGACCTCGTTGTCGGAGCGCGCCCCTGGACACGTCCAGGCGTCCGTGTTCGAGGGAGGGGGCCGACGAGGAAGAGGAGGGGGCGGAGGAGGAGGAGGGGGAGGAGGACGAGGGAGGAGCAGAAACAGTGCGAGTGGGGCGTCATCCGTCGGGAGTGGAAGCAGCGAGGCCCGTCTCCAGAGTGAGCAGGTCGGCGAACGTGTGCAGTATGCCAAAGGCGCCAGCTCACTTGAGCAGTCAAGGCCGCGCCTGTTCTCGTTGATACAGAGTGCCACCCTGAACAGGGGAACTGAGTCTGGGCCGTCCACGGCACGCGCCCTCAAAAGAAGAAGCTCTCCAGATGTGCCTGGCTTCCATCGACATCGTTCTGGCGGCGCCCAGCTGTCGTTCCTGCCGTCCAGGGGCGACCGCACACACCACACAACAAAACACAACCAACCCAGAAGCAACAACAGCATATGCAGCCACTTGCCTGCAGCAAGTCCCGCCACCGTGACAGCCGAGAACTTCGGGGTGGCGACTGTTCGGGGGGCGCGCAGGAGGCCGTAATGTGTGATACCTCTTGTTCCGACACTTGAAGGAGCCGTGACCAGTCAAGCACACTCTTCCGCGTCGTGTCAGGGGCTCTTCTCTTCGTCTTCGTCGTCCCCTTCCTCGTCTTCCGCCCTTTCCTGGGCTGCCGTGAGGGGGTCCCTTGGGCCACTTTGGGGCCGTCCTCGGGCCCTCTTGGGGCGCCTTGGGCTCTCCTGGGCTGTCTTGGGGCTGTCTTGGGGCTCTCTCGGACCGTCGCGGGGCTCCCTTGGGCCGTGAGGGGCCGTCTTGGGGCCGCCCGGGACCGTCCTCGGGCCCCCTCTTGGGCCGTCCATGGGGCGCTCTCGGGCCGTCTTGGGGCCGTCTTGGCCGTCCGGGAGGGCCCCTCTGCGATCGTCGTGTGCCTGTCTTTTGGGACCGTCGTGTGGGGCCGTCGGGAGGGGCTCTGTAAGAGGCCGTCTGGGGCCCCTCTGTCGGAGGCCCTCTTCGGGGCAGCCTGCAGCTCTCTTTCTTGGGGCCGTCTTTGGGTCCGCCTGGGCTGTCTTGAGGCCGTCTTGGAAGTGTTTTTCGGCGGCGAGCGAGGGGTGGAACTGAGAAAGAGAAGGCCTTCTCAGAAGGCGGAGGGACTTCTCAGAAGCCCTCGCCCTTCTGCTAAGTTTTTCCCGGAAAGGGCGGGGGCCCAGGGTTCTCTTTTAGAGGTTTACCACCAGAATCGACTTGAAGGAGGCCGGCGGGATTATTCTGCGATAAATGACAAGTTTGAAGGAGGACGGCGGAATTATTTTTGAGGATGTCTCGAGCGAAACGCTTGTTGTTCAGAATTTGTTGAGGATTTCTCGAGCGAAACGCTTGTTTTGTGTCATAGATTGTCCTCTCCTGGGGACCTGAATTCAGAAAATCTCTTAAGTGAAATGCTTGTTTTCACGTGCCCAGGTCTTGAGGACGTCTCGAGCGAGACGCTTAGTTTCACGCCTCCAGGTTGCCCAGACAGATGTCTAGCATGAGGATGTGTTGAGGATGTCTCGAACCAGAGGCTTGTTTTCACTTGTCCAGGTCGCCCAGGCGGATGTCTAGCATGAGGTGGTGTCGAGGAAGTCTCGATCGAGACGCTTGTTTGCACGTGTCCAGGTTGTCCAGGCGGATATCTAGCACGAGGGTGTGCTGAGAACGTCTTGAGCGAAACGCGTGTTTTCACGTGTTCAGGTCGCCCAGGCACAGCACAGCCGTCGGTACGGTACATCAAGATCGATACCCTTAGCACTGCAGCTTGGCATGTTGCCTGGCACGTTCCGCGGAGAGTCCCGTGGCGAGTCCCCCTGGCACGTCGCGCGGTGCACGTCCAGTGGCTCGTTCCGCAGCGCGTCCCCTTGGCACGTCCCGCGGTGCGTGCCCATGGCACGTCCCCTGGCACGTCGCCTGGCGCGTCCCTTGGGACGTTCAGGGGCGCGTCCTCCTGGCATGTCCCCTCTGTCGATCAGTTTTGGGGCAGCTACCATCTGCTCAGGCAGCTCGAGCTTAAGATCCAGATCAGTTCGGTCAGGACTCGGATGCAAAGAGGACTCGATCCACAACGCTGTATAGTGCACAATCACGGCATGGCACATCACAGTTCAGCACGCCCAGCACAGCACAGCCGTCGGCACAGTACATCAAGATCGATATAGTCAACATTGCACCTTGGCACTTTTGGGAGCGTTCCGTGGCGAGTCCCTCTGGCACGTCGCGGGCGCGTCCCTGTCACGTCCGCGGCACGTCCATTGGCACGTTCAGCAGCGCGTCCCCTTGGCACGTCCCGCGGTGCGTCCCATGGCACGTCCCCTGGCACGCCGCCTGGCCCGTCCCTTGGGACGTTCCGCGGCGCGTCCTCCTGGCATGTCCCCTCTGTCGATCAGTTTGGGGCAGCTACCATCTGCTCAGGCAGCTCGAGCTTAAGATCCAGATCAGTTCGGTCAGGACTCGGATGCAAAGAGGACTCGATCCACAACGCTGTATAGTGCACAATCACGGCATGGCACATCACAGTTCAGCACGGCGTAGCACAGCACAGCCCTCGGCACAGTACATCAAGATCGATACATTCAGCATTGCATTTGCCCGTCGCCCAATCAGGTGTCTTTGAAACGTTGCCATGCCATACATTTCTATATTCCTTTGCGGGTTCGTGGGTCGATCATGTTTCTGTCCTCGGGGAATGTTTAAACAATTTCTCGGATGGCCAGGGGACTTCCGAGCCTTCTGAGAAGGCCTTCCCCTTCTCACTTCCCTCCCTCGCTTGCCGCCGAGTCTTGGAATTGTTTTGCCATTGTCGAGCTGTTTTGGTTCGGAGCCGTGTGGCAGGCCTCCAGAGGCCTCCTGGAGCTGCTGGACGTGAACACGCCCAACTCACAGAAAGACCAGCCAGGGACTTGTGGAATTTGGGGGTTCTTCGAGCACGACTGGGGGTCCTCTTGTTGGCCTTTTGGGCTGTCTCGGTTGCTGCCTTGGCCGTCTTGAGGCAATGCACAGCCGTCGTGGGAGCAGGAGGATGAGGCGGAGGAGGACGAGGAGGCGGATGAGGAGGAGGAGGCGGAGGAGCAGGCGGAGGAGGAGGAGGAGGAGGAGGAGGTGGAGGAGGAGGAGGAGGAGACGGAGGGAGGAGGAGGCGCAGGACCAGGAGGAGGAGGAGGAGAAGGAGGAGGAGGAGGAGGAGGAGGAGGAGGAGGAGGAGGAGGAGGAGGAGGGAGGAGGAGGAGGAGGAGGAGGAGACGGAGGAGGAGGAGGCGCAGGAGGAGGGAGGAGGGAGGAGGAGGAGGAGGAGGAGGAGGAGGAGGAGGAGGAGAGGAGGAGGAGGAGGAGGAGGAGGAGGAGGAGGAGGGGTAGAGGAGGAGGAGGAGGAGGAAGAGGAGGAGGAGGGAGGAGGGAGGAGGAGGAGAAGGAGGAGGAGGAGGAAGAGGAGGACCAGAAGGCGGAGGAGGAGGAAGATGAGGAGGAGGAGGAGGCGGAGGAGGAAGAGGAAGAGGAGGAGGAGGGGGCGGAGGAGAAGGATGAGGAGGATCACATCTGACGCGTTCGGAGGCGCATTGAACTATCTTGACGGTCCGGGTGCCCCGCCTCGGTCGGGTGGGAAGCTCGGGCGCGCCGGCACACGATGTTTTACGGGGGCTCGCCTCGGGAGCACGGGCCGTGGCTTCGGGTGCACGGGCCCACAGGTCCCGGAAAGGGCGCGTCCCAGGGTTCGCTTTGGGGTGTTTGCCCTCTGGCCTCGGTTGAAGGGGGCCAGCAGATCTTCTCTTCGATGCATAACCAGTTCGAAGAGGTCCGGCGGGTTCATGTTTGACGAGGTCTGGAGCGAAGCTCCGTTTTTGAAATTCCGCTCGGTAGAGAAAGAGGTGAGGTGAGATTTCGTTTGCTGCGGATATCTCTTTGTATGCTTAATTCAGGATGTCTCGAGCGAAACGCTTGTTCCATAGAATTTGACAACCCTGGACGCCCCAGGATGCCCCAAGAGGTTTTGGGGGTGAGGACGCAGCGTTATTTAGGGACCCTTGCCCTGGGAGTGCCGATGCAGCATACTTTACGAGGCACCGTTGCCCTGGTAGCGCGGACGCAATATATGCTATCATCGGTGATAAGCGTAGGGGCGCGGGCGCAGTGTAAGTTCCGAGGGATCCTGGCCTTGGGTGCGCGGGCTCAGTGTAATTGACGAGGGATCGTTACCTTGGGAGCGCGGACGCAATGTAAGTTACCATCGGTTATAACCGCATGGACGCGGGCGCAGTGTAATTTACGAGGGATCCTGGCCTTGGGTGCGTGGACTCAGTGTAATTTATGAGGGATCGTGGCCCTGGTAGCTCGAACTCAGCGTGATTGGACAAGGGATCCTGGCCCTGGGGATGCGGAAGTCAATGTACGATGGGTCATGTTCTCATGGGCGCGGATACGGGGTCTTTTATGAGGGATCCTGGCTCTGGGAGCGCGGACGCCGCGTAATTCACATAGGATCGTGGCCCTGGGAGCGCGGACGCAGCGCAATTTACATGGGATCGTGTCCTTCCGGGGGCGGACGCAGCGTAAGTTACGAGGGATCGTGACCGTCTCGTGACCCTGGTAGCGCGGGCGCAGTATCATTTACAAGGGACATGGCCCCGGGGGTGCGCAAGCACCGTTATTTACAAAGGGTCTTGGTCTTGGAAGCGCGGGCGATGCGCAATTTACCGGGATCGTTGCCTTGGGAGCGCGGACGCGGTGCAATTTACAAGGGATCGTGGCCCTGGGAGCGTAAGCCCTTGTAATTTACAGTGGAACGCCGTCCTGGGAGCGCGAACTCATCATAATTTACCAAGGATCTTGGCCCTGGGAGCGCAGACGCAGAATAAATTACGAGGGATCGTGGCCCCCGGGCACGTTGTCTCCTGGACACGTCGCGCGGCGCGTCCCCTGGCGCGTCCCCTGACACGTCCGCTGGCACGTTCCGTGGCGCGTGGCACGTTCTGTGGTGCGTTCCGTGGCGTGTCCCCCAGGCACATCGCGCGGCACTTCCCTGCCATGTCCACTGGCACGTTCCGTGGCGCTCGCCCTGGAGCGTCATTGTGCGTCGCGGCGCATGGCAGAGCAGCACAACACATCTCCTGGCACAGTAGCATCACCATTGGTATCTTAAGCACTGCCATGCCCCTCGCCAAATTGGAGGTGCTCGGAAACGTTCCCAGCGCTCGCAGTTCTAAATCCCTTTCCGGGTTTGTGGGTCGATCACGTTTTCGTACGGGGGAGCGTGGACACGGGGGCGCGGACCCGTAGTTTTTTTTGCGAGGGATCGTTGTCTCGGGAGTTTGGACCGATACCCTTCGTGGCTTTTTGTATGGGGGGCGGGCGCGGCATGTGGAAGTCCGCGGGTAGGGGGGGGTCATTCAGAAGATTGCAGAAACCCTGCCAGACAGTCCTGGGGATTCTACGACGCCTCAACGTGCCAGCGGTAACGGTGGCGGATTGAGGTCAGTGGATACAGGCCATACCATTGATTGCGCCAAGGAAGGGGGATATGAAACAGAGCCTCAGGTCAGAGCGTGCTCCCCAAGAATGGTGACCTCCGTGTGTCCTCTCCCTCTTGCCACTCCTGCGCCAGCCTCACCAGAGGCTATCTACGCACTGCTGATGATCAACGGTGGCTTCTTGGCGAGGTTAACGAACGTGGACGACCCCATCGACGCTGCTCAAGACATGAACCTGCTCGTGGAGGCCTGCCAACCCTCTTCTCCGAGCGCCGCTGCTTCCCACTAGAGGTCGCCGTGGTTGGGCGCTCTTCACGTAATTTTGGCCCCAGCGTTTCCGTGGCGAAGCTGCTCTCGTCAGCAGATCCCTGGGAAGTGCGCCGCACATTTCGGTTACCTCTTAATTCGGATATAGTGGACTAGTTGCCCGGCTGCTTTATAGAGCGATGAGGGTATCACGAGGATGGGACACCATAGGAGTTGCAACAATGAGTAATCGCAGTCGCTGTCGATGTGCCCTCACGTCTCGTGAGATGTCTTCGATATCTCTGGTTTCTTTTCCTGTCTCGCTGCGTCTGCCTCTTCCTCGTGGCAACATTAGCCGTGGCCTCGATATTCGTCAGGCAGTCCAACCCGGGCTGGAGACCGCGGGCTACCACCCCTTGCTGTCGACCCGCGCTTGCCGTTTTGTACTTCCTCTCCCTTCAGCCGTCCGTGCTGCTGCGGCTCCTCCTCCTCCTCCTCCTCCTCCTCTTCCTCCTCCTCCTCCTCCCTATCCCCTTCTGCTCGGCTGACTCGACCTCGTTAGCTCGTGCTGCCCTGCAGGCCGTCGAATGACCCCTCGGCGGTGCTCGCCGATGGCGGCAGCGGCGTTGCTGATGAGGGCATGACGTGTCTCCCCTATGACGCTCCAGCCTCCCGCGTGCTGCTGGATGGAAGGGGTGACAGGCTGTGTGACCTGTACCCTTGGGTGCCGGAGGGACGCCAACACTACACCGCCACCAGCTCTGGCCGGGCCCCTCCTGGGCCTGGTGCCTGCTGTGTAGACCTCCAGGCCCAGGCCAGGAGGGCCCGTACACCAGTCCAGGGCCCAGGATGGGCCTGGCCAGAGCCGGTGGTGGTGTATTGTTTGGAATTCTTTTACGGTGACGCAAAGAACTCTGGCCCAGCCCCTACCAACCGCCCGCAGCGCCCAGCGTCGCGCGCTGTCCACACGGGGCGCTCTTGCGCCCTTGGCTCCCTCGTGTCGCCACACGTCCATGCTGGCTAAATCGTTCCACAAGTAGTCTCGCCGACGGCTTGCTTCGCCTTCGGCGGAAGCCAGCGGCAGGCTGGTGGAAGTAACGTGACGGTGGCTCCGCCGGTGGAAGGTCGGCGGAAGCGAGAGTGGGACGTCACAAGTTTGGGGTTCACGGCTTCCAGAGTCGGACAGCGCCTGGCCGCAGACCGCGCAGTGTGGCCACGACCTGGGCGCATCCCGGCCAGCCCCAGCCCGAACCAAGCGTCTAAGCATGTCCCCGCGCCCCTCAGAGGTCTCGTGCCGTGGGGAGAGCAGGGAGCATACTCCTGCCCCGATGCTCCGAGGGCACTCGTGCCCGCCAGTCTGAGCTGCCAAGGAGGGGGCCGGCGCTGATCCCACCAGAGAGGCAGGCCGTCATCCACTGGCGCGGCAGGCAAAATGCCACCTCTGGCAGCACACGATGGGGGCGGTAGTTCAAGTTCAGCTTTGTTCTTCCCGCGGGGGAGCAGCGGGGCCAGAGTGGTGATGGCAGGGGGACTCCCGTGAAGAAGGGGGCCGCTGCTGCCCGCCGCTGCCCTCGAGGGGTACTCGGGCCCACTGCAGCGGGTGATGCTGAACTCCGTGGGCTTCGGCGGCACCAACGCCTCCCTGGTCTTCGACAAGTGGACCGGCAGCTGAGCGCCTCCCGGGGAGGTGCACGTCTCGTCCGCGCGCAAGGGTATCCCTCTGCCAGGGCCCAGAGTGACCCCTGGTGAGGGCTTCCAAGGTCAGGCGATCGCAAACATGGATCAAGGGGGCGTGGATTAGCAACGGGTCCCGTTTCCGTGGGAAATCGCGGATTTCCGCCGCCGAGCGCGGCGGCACCGGCCGTATTTTGGGGAGGGCACCTGCCCCCGATCCATGGGCTTTGCGACCGCGCGCCAAATCCACGGATCGCTAATCCATGCTTGCGCGCCCGCGATCAGAGGTGCCCCCTCGGCATGGGGCTGCGCGCCCGGATTCGCCCCCTCCGCCGGCGGCCCGCCAGAGCCGCGCACCAGAGGTCACTCCTGCCCGGGGCCACTCTTGCGCGCAGCTGGATGTTGACGCCTGTATCGAAGACGCCTACGGCCCATCCCGCCACCGTGCCCGGGTTGTGGTTCTGAGGCCTCTTGGATGTTCGTGGGGATCTCGTCGAGGCCTCACCTCCTGGAGGCGGTTTTGAAGCCTCCAGGGGGCTCTTTGGGGGCCCCTTGGGGCCTCCTTTGAGCCTCTTGGGGGCCTCTTGAGTCCTCTTGGGGGCCTCTTGGGGGCCTCTTGGTGGCCTGTCGGGCCTTCTGGGGGGCCTCTGGACGTCTTGGAGCGTCGGAAGCTCGAAAAGTCAAGAATTCCAGAAACCTCGAAAACCGGTGGGAGATCAATGATTTTCGCTTGGCAGGGCCCTCTTGAAAGTGCTCTTGGAGGCCCCTCGGGTGCGTCTTCGGCCGATCTGGCCATCTTCGGGGTCTTGGACCGATTCATCTGCGATTCGAGGCCCTCTTGAACCGCCTTGGGGGTCTTTCTGCACCATCTTGGCCCGTCTTGGAGCCCCCTTTGGCTCCGAACAGGCCTCGCGGGAAGACGCGCGGAGCGCCGCGGGTGGCACGTCGTGGAGCCGCGGGAGGCACGCGGGGAGCTGCAAGATGTTTGTGCACGTGGGGTCCAGTCCCCTGAAAGGGACCTCAGGATTCAGGAGGAAAAGAAACACACAGACACAATTAATCCTCGATTCCCCAGAAAATATGGGAAAATATGGGAAGTGGGGGGGAAGACAAAAACCCAGAAAATATAAGAAAATATGGGGAATCTTTTTATTTGTGTGAATTTATTTGTGTGTTCCAGTTCCCCTTCAAGGATGGAGGATTGAGGCCTAAGAGAGGAGGCCAAGGACCCGAGGACACACTCCGACTCCGGGCCTCGAGAGGGCCCGGTGGCGGATATTACTAATGACGCTGCATCAGACTCAGGCTCAGAGAAGCGTGGAGGAGAAAAAGCGGCGGCGCGGGCGATCCCCCTGCCGGCTTCGGCCTGTCCTGCTCGAGTGTCCTTGCGGAGCATGCGATTGCGATATCGCTCGCGTGCGTGGGCCGCGGTCGCGCTCTTCGTGGGCAGCTGTCTGTCTGATGTCCTGGTGCTGCACGTATTGCACACATCCCGTGCAGAAGCGATTGCAGCTGCTGCGAGGGGGTAGCGAATGAACGTTGGTGAAACAACGGGATTGAGCAGCAGGCAAGCCCAGAGAGGGTTCAGCCTGAGCGCCCCTCCCCCCCCGAATGGCCGACTTGGGACCCTCCGGGAGGCCGTTTGGACATATTGACCTTTGGAAACATGTTTGAGCCATCTTGGGCATCAATGATTGTAACTGATCGCATTTGTTGACAGCCTTTCGGGCCCTAATGGGGCCATCATGAAGAACATCGGCCAACAACAGGAGGGCCCTATGGGGCCTTGCTCTCGAATTCGCAACTCTGAGTTCGAGGGCCCTGACCTGAGGTGGTCCTGCCAGTTTCGCTTGAGATAGTTATTCTCGCAACTCCGGGCTCGGAGACGTCGCGCGCGAGGTGATCCAGCCAGTTTCGCCTGGGACAACCTCGCAAGTCCGGGCTCCGAGATGCACGCGATGGGTCCGGGGCCCGTTTCGCGTGAGACATCCTCGCAGGTATGGGCTCGGAGAGATCTTGACATCTTCGCTTGAGACACCTCACACCTGTGGCTCCGAGACGCCGCGCGCGAGGGGTCTCAGCCAGTTTCACCCGAGAGATCCTTGCAGTTCTGGGCTCCTAGAAGCTCTGACCCAAGGTGGTCCGGCCAGTTTCGATTGACGTCCTCGCAACTCTGGAATCCCAGACGCCCAGGCTCAGGCTGGTCCAGTCAGCTTCGCCTGAGACATCCTCGCAACTCTGGAACCCCAGACATCCTGGCCTCGTCTGGTCCGCCCAAGAGGCATCTTTGCTATTCTGGGCTCAGACACGCTCTCACCTGAGGTGGTGCGGCCAGTTTCGCTTCAGAGCTTCTCGCAGCTCGGGGCTCCCAGACTCAGGGGGGGAAGCACACAGACACACTAGTCGACCATCCAAAGGAACATGTGGGAAATTATGAGAAGTGGGGGGGAAGACGAATATTCAGAACATGTTGGAAAGTATTGGGAATTTCGGGATTTGTGTGTATTTATTTGTGTGTCCCTGGGCCCCTTCACAGGTGCCGCGCGAGGGCGGATCTTGCTCACTTTTTGCCCGAGACATCTTCGCAAATCTCTGGGCGCTCGAAGGAGCCTGGCCTGAGGTGGACCTGCCAACTTCGCCCGAGACATCCTTTCGCAGCTTTGGGCCCTCTGAGATGCCGCGCGCGGGGTGGTCCTGCCCGGTTTCGCTGGATGCATCCTCGCAAGTCTGGGCTCGACAAGTCGTGCGAGAGGTGGTGCGACCCGTTTCGCCGGAGACATCATCGCAACGCTGGCCTCAGAGAAGTCCTGACCCGAGGCGGTTTGTCCAGATGCAGCCGAGACATCATCGCACCTCCTTGGGATCCGAGGAGCTCGGACCTGAGGTGGTCCGTCCAGGTTCGGTTCAGACATCATCGCGCCTCTGGACTCCGATAAGCCCTGACCTGAAAAACATTGCGCCTGAGACATCCTTGCAACTCTGGGCTCTGAGATGCCGCACGAGCATCATCGCATCTCTGGGCCAGAAGGGGCCCTTTCCTGCGGTGGTCTTGCCAGTTTTGCCTGAGACATCTTCGCAACTCTGGGCTCCGAGAGGTCCTGACCTGTACTGGCCCAGCCAGTTTCGCCTGTACTGGCCCAGCCAGTTTCGCCGAGCCAGTTTCGCCAGAGCGGCTCGGGTCTGGGGCCCCAGCCTGGGGTGGCCCGTCCCGACCTGGAGATGCCGTGCGCGAGGCGGCACGGCCAGCTTCGCCCGAGAGGTCCCTCACAAGTCTGGGCTCGGAGATGTCGCGGGCGAGGTGGTCCAGCCAGTCTTCCCAGGGACGACCTCTCAGCTGTGGGCTCGAGGGCCGTGACCAGAGCTGGGCCCGCCAGATTCTCGGAGATCTCCTCGCAACTGGGCTTCGAGAGGATGCGCACGAGGTGATCTGGCCAATTTTGCCGAGACATGCTCGCAACTCTGGGCTCCGAGATGTCGCTTACGTACGGGCGGGTCCGGGCCAGGTTTGCGCGCTCCCCGCAAGTGTGGGCTCCGAGATGCCGCACGAGAGGTGGTCTGGCCAGTCTCGCGTGAGGTATCCTCGCAGTTCTGGGCTCGGAGACGCCCTCGCCTGGGGTGATTCTGCCGGTTTCGCTTGGGGCAACCTCGAAATTCTGGGCGCCGAGATGACATGTCGCTAGGTGGTCTGGACAGTTTCGCCTAAGTCATCCTCGCAGCTCGGGTCTATAAGATGCACTTTCTGGATTTGGTCCGGCCAGTTTCGCTTGCGACATCCTCGCATCCCTGGGCTCGAGGACCCTGACCCGAGGCGGTCCAGCCAGTTTCGCCAAAGGTATATCCTCGCGACTCTGGGCTCCGATATCCTGAGGTGGCGCAGCCAGTTTCGCCTGAGACATCCTCGCAGCCTTGGACTCCCATATACCGTGCGCGATGTGGTCCTGTCAAATTCGCCTGGGAACCTCTCGCACCGCCTGGCTCGGGGATGTCGCGCGAGACATGATTGGGCCCGTTTCGCCCGAGACATCTCGCAACTTTGGGATCCCAGTTGCTGCGTGTGAGGTGGTCTGGCCAGCGTCGCCCGAGACACCCTCGCAACCTCGTTGCTTGGAGATGTGGCGCGAGAGATGGTCGGGCCCATTGCGCCTTAGACATCCTTGCAGCGCACCTCGGGGCTCCGAGATGCCCCGTGGTCGTCGTTCGTTGGGTCCGATGGAACAGAGTTCGGCCGCCATGCGGGGCACGGACTCCAGCTGGAAAAACAAAAATGTGCGTTCAGGCATCGTTGTATGAGAGGAGGTAAGAGGGGAGAAAAGAACAATGATAAAGAGCGAAGCGCCGGGCTCCTGCCTCAGAATCGTCCCACCTCGTGGCAGGTCTCCCTCTTCCCCTAAAAGGGTTCGCCTTGTTCGCGTTGCTGCAGTCCGGAGGAAGCCACTCGTCAGCTTGACGTGCGAGTGTCGGCCACGATGCCCCGCGGACATCATCGCATCTCTAGGCTCCGAGATGTCCTCACCTGAGGTTGCCCAGCCAGTTTCGCCTGCAACGCCTTCGCAACTCTGGGCGCCAGGGCATGACCTGAGCTGGTCCAGCCAGTTTTGCCTCCCTCCCGGCCGCCTTCCTTCTTCCGTTGCCTTTTTGTCTCACGCTCCTTGCCGCCTTAACGAGCAAGTGCTCGCATTTCTCTTGGCTTATGTTATCAAATGCGTCGAAGGAAACTGTATGCGCGAAACTTTGCATTCCTGGCCTCATTGCCGCTTGGCTTCTTGGGACCCCAATGCGTGTGACTGTCGCTGCTACATCGAATTCTTGGCATGCTGAGTTTTCAGTTTTCTTCGTCTGCCGGCAAATCGAAAGCTTCCGCGGGAAATCTTGGACGATTTGGACGTTTCGGAGTAATCGGTATGAGGGGTGCCATGGCAATTGGGTGAGACGACGTAACAGCATTCACTGTACCAATGTTCAATCTGGATTGCCTGCGAAGGCTGCTCTGGACAAGACCGAGGCTGACTGTTTCTGTGACCTTGTTGTGCCAGATGTTTCAGGGCGGCTGTCTTTCAACTCGATTGGCATATCGTCGGCGTCACCCCAACATGCTAATACTACGTGTGCGTCGCTCGCCCAGGGACGACGCGCGCACCGAGACATCTTATAGTATACGCGTCGTAGCGGGCGTTTTCTGGTCACACCGCTCGGGAAACGATATACTACACGATGGGTATACTATGTGTTCGGGTCGGACGCGTGCCTCCAAGGAGAACATATGGTACTAGTATGTCTCTGTGCGTCCCATGTCACTCTCGCCTGCGTTCTGTGACCCCTCGCACAGGCCTGCCCGCTGTGATCGCACTGGTGCCGTCTTTTGTTGCCGGTCGCCATCACCGATCGGCTGGCTGGCACCCCTCGCCTCGCAGGTTTGATCCCTTGGGATGCATCATCGCCCTCCCCAGAGAGGCCTCCTCTTTTTCCTCCTCCTCTTGCTCCTTCTCCTCCTGCTCCTCCTCCTCCTCCTCCTCCTCCTCCTCCACTCTCCTCCTGCTCCTCCTCCTCCTCCTCCTCGTCGTCCTGCTCCTCCTCCTCCTCCTCCTCCTCCTCCTCCTCCTCCTCCTCCTCCTCCCCTCTCTCCTCCTGACATCCAGCGGACGAAGGCTGCCATCATCAGCGTTTATCGGAGGAACTCCAGGGTCCTGGCCAACAGGATGATCAGGTTCCACAAAAGGGTCCAGAAACTCGACCAGGTGGTGTGTGGTATCCTCCAGGCCCGGGCAGCGTCTTGGAATCCTTCCCAATCGGTAGTCCCAGCTTTAGACCGTCTCCAGTTTAAGATTTTAGGCTGGATGCTCCGGCTCCCCAGGGATCCTCAAGAGACTCCTGCGCAGTTCAGCATCCGTAGGGCCAGGGAGCTTAAGGATAAAGTCGTTACCCAGTGGTCCCGGGTCTATTGCTTTTCCTGCATTTCCTGGCTATCCCATCTCCAGCGCCATGAGGATTCGATGGCAGGCCACGCCTTTAGAGAGCATGATCTTGAATGGCTCACCTCGGTCAGGCGCGTCTGGGCCTGCGGCTCGTCAAAGACGGGCACGCGGAGCGCCAGAGGTCGCGTCTACAGGTGGGACGCTGTTGGTTGGTGCCGGCAGTTCTCGCTTCAGGGCTCCCGGGACCCCAAAGTCCTTTGGGACCTTTCCCATCAGCTGCTCCTCGCCTTGGGCGGCCGGGACAGAGCGCGGGCCACTTGAATTCACAATTTGGGCTTTCTTGTTCGTAGTTTTCTTTGGCTTCAGCTTGCTTTCAGTCACCGCTTCGATGAGCGTGCCATCA